GGAAATTTCTTGATTTTCCTGTGAGGTTTTCAAACTGCTTTTGCTTATTGCAGGTCCAGAGGTGATGGACAGTTTTCCTTATTTGACCACCGTAACAATAATACTCTATCATTTCCTGTTTCTGACTAGAAATCTTACCTTTGTTCACTAGGGCTCCACATATCTTTTGTCTCTGGCTGCCATGAGACTTGCTCTCATCTTTGTTTTTTACCACTTTGAGTCTGCATCTCACTCTGTTGAGTCTTCTCTTTCTCTCTTTATGATGCCTGTCCTTTCCAGACCTTGTTTAAAATGTGCAGCGTTGAAGTTCAGTAGTTGTTGATGTGGATTCTTAGCCAGCATCTGTGGAAATATTTCTCCTCATCTTCCATCTTTCTATCTCCCCACTCCTGCTCTCTCTTTCTCTGTCTCTCTCTTCGCCCTCCCCCCACTGTGCACACTAAGTGCCCAGATGTTAGGCTGTTGCACGTTGTTTCCTAACTCTTAAAGGATTGTCCTTCTATTTGTTTTCTCTGTCACTCTTTCTTTCTTTGCTTGTTTGCATGTGTGGCAGTTAGGATTATTTCTCTTAATCCTTCTTCAGTTTCACTAATGATTTTCTCAGAGGTGTGTGGTGTCCTGATGAGCCCATTGAAGAATTCTCACCTTTGACCTCAGGAGTTTGTTTTCTTCCATTTTTATTTTACAGTTTTTGAGACTTTCCGTGTTTTTGCTGAACCTCCCCATCTTTGCACCCATGCTGTGCACTTTCCCAGATGATGTTCTAACACTTCACTCATGGTCCTTACAAGCCCAGTCTGGACTTCCTAGATCCAGTCATCTCCGAGACTGGTGTCTGGATTAGCTAATAGGAATTTTTCATCTTGGTGGTTTTGGTATGTCCTATAATGTTTTAATCCAGTGTTCTATGTGGGACCAGCACATTAGGCTAGACTGCAGTAGTAATTCTTCCTTCTTGGATGTGGGCCCTTCTCTGCTTTTGCCCATAGGTATTGTGGCTCACTCAGTACCGGTAGCCATCAGCTGAAATAAATGGGGTTCCCTTGATGGGATATGCAGCACAGGCTTTCAATTCCTGCAGTGGTAGGCTGTTGGGACCTGGTGCTGAGTGTGGGCTCTGGGATGCCGAAGAGTTTTCTACCATGCTCAGACCGGGCCCTTTACTGAGTACCTGCACCCCAGAGGGGATGTCCCTCCACTTCATGGGATCCCATCAGTAGACTGCTAGTGGTTTTCCTTGATTACTAAGTGATTGGTGGAATGGGCACATGCTCTATCTCCCTGGTCCACCCAGAGTGCTAGGCCGACTGGTCTATGCTGACTGTAGAAGGCCTGGCTTCAGAGGTGCGCCAACTCTAGGTCATTGTCCCTGGTCTTGCTCTTGAGTGGAAGAGAAATCCATTTGTGCTTGATGTCACTTCAGTGTCCTGTGTTCCAGAGGGTTCCTTGTCTCTTTTTTGGTGAAGAAATGCATGACCCTAGCCCCATCAGAGAAACTGTGGATTTTGCCCTGTAGACTAGACACAGGACCATATCCTGCCCTGGCCCCCCAAAGCTGACTGTGGTGGCCTTGGCCAAGCAAGTTATGTGGGGAAATGTGCCATGGTTGCAAGTATGAACCCAATGATAACCATGCTATCTGACCTGGCTGTGTTCTCCCTAATGTTACATTCAATATTTCCAAGTGAGTTGGGTGATTAAGGTTCTAGCTAGCTATGAATTGCTGGCGATTTCTCTGGGGGAGAAGGTGTACACTGCCTGCTCCTTGGGAAAAGGCAACAGTGGTAATTCCCGGATAGGAAGGCCCTTTTTTGTTTTCACTTGTTTACCATGTTTCTTTGTTCCAGTTATTCTTCAGCTTGATTTCTTCTATTTCCATCTTAGCACCAACTGAACAGGACTGTTACCAGGGTGATGGACACGGTTACCGAGGGACAGCATCAACCACGGTCACAGGAAGGAAATGTCAATCTTGGCTGTCTATGACACCACACAAGCACTCGAGGACCCCAGACAACTACCCAGATGGGTATGTGTTTGATTTTCTCCCAGAAGAGAAGCAACATCTGACTGAAACTGCTGTTCCCAGAGCTCTGTTTCAAGCTCACTGCTTGGGAACATAATTCCCTTGGTCCAAAGTGTGAGGCAGAATGTGAAGGAAACTAGCTTTGGAGCCAACATTCTGCGACAAGACACAGTAGAGAAAGGCCGTCATGCCTGAGTCATGTTGTAGAAACACATGATACACATGGATGGAGGTACCCAGAGTACATGAATGGAAAGGTCAAGAGAACAAATGAAACACTTAGGAACAGTACCTGGCCATGGCACCACTGGCGATCAGTCCAATCTGCTATGTTTTGTAGAAATACACTATACACACAAATAGTACACTACCAGACCACCACCCTCACTATAGATCCATGCAATCTTTGAATGATGCAATTCTATCTTTCCAGCCTCCAACCACCAAGAAGAGTTTATGTTTGCCAGTTTTACCAAGGGATTGAAGTCCAGATTTGAACCTCACTCAGGTACACACACACATACACACACATACACACACACACTGCCGTAGCCAAACACAGTGGGTCTTTAGCGTTAGTGGTCTGAACAGATATGAGGTGCTAGGACACAAGGCAGAAAAGCAGAAGGGCACGTTGGAGGCAGAAGTATACAGGTGCTGAGAAGTACAAAGGCTGAGCACATGGACAAAAGCAACTGTCTGACTGGACCAGCCTTTGTGCCATCAAAGACAGTACAATATTTAGAAGTGTTTTTACCTGTTGGACTAAGGACAGCCTAGCAGTGAGCTCATTTGCAATGAAAAGTAGATGTGGGCAACCCCATCAATGCCCTGACTTTCTTCCTAGAGCCCCATGGTAAGAGGAAGAAGGGAAATTAGAGAAATTAGTAACATTCAACGTGAAAGGAAACAGTTGAACATTTGAGTAGTAATTTAGTGAAATAAAAGGTGCTGGGTGCCCCTGAAGACTCTCCCTCCTTTGGTGACCTGTATTATTTTGCATTAATAGTGGCCTGGTGAGGAACTACTGCAGGAATCCAGATGATTCTGGACGCCCTTGGTGTTACACCACTGATCCGAGCGTCAGGTGGGAGTACTGCAACCTGACACAGTGCTCAGAGGGCCCAGTTCCCAGTGAAGAGGCTCCTACTGAACGGGGTAAGAAATCTCTGACATCCACCCCCTTAGGACATTGGGAGGAATCAAGATGGAATGTCATCTTCATGTATAAGATTTCTATGTGAAAAGTGTCTTTGGGTGCTGCTGGAGGGTATTCCCTGTAGAAGGAGACCTCAGGGCTCCTGCTGGGGGAAGCCAAAGCTGTGATTCATGGCACAATGTGGGGGAGGACAGGTTTGAACACTTGTGTAAATCCTTCAGGGCCCTTTCCTTACTGCTCACCTGGGCTTGAAGCTGAAGATGCTAGAGTCCATCCACGGATCTATCGGGTGCCATATGCTTTCTGTTCAGAGCTTCTACCTGAGCATTGATAGCAATTCCTTTCAACTCCTCTATGTCTGGAAATTTCTTCATTTTTCTTTGAGGTTTTCAAACTACTTTTGCTTCTTTCAGGGTATGTGTTTGATTTTACCCCACAAGAGAAGCAATATCTGACTGAAATTGCTATTCCCAATAGCAACTATGATGAACAGTTCTCTTTATTTGATCACCATAAAGATTATGCTCCATCAGCACCTATTTCTGACTAGGAGTCTTATTTTTGTTCAATAGGGTTCCATAGTTCTTATCTCTGGCTGCCATTAGACTTGCTCTCATCTTTACATTTTAGCACATGGACTCTGCTTCTGTGATGAGTCTTCTCTCCCTCTAAGTTTTGTGCTTGGCCTTCCTGAGCTCCTGAATATGTAGAGAGTCAATGATCAGTAGTTTGTTTTAGCCGATTCTTAGCCACTGTCTGCTGAAATATTTCTCCTTCATCTTCTATCTCTCTTCCCACCTTCTCTCTCTCTTTCTTTCCCTCCCTTGCCATTGTGCACACTAACTGTCCATATGTTAGGTCATTCCATGTTGTTTCCTAATTCTGGAAGTATTGTCCTTCTGTTTGTTTTCTCTGTCACTTTTTTTTTTGTTTGTTTGTTTGTTTGTTTGCATGTGTGCCAGATAGGAGTATTTCTCTTAACCCATCTTCAGGTTCACAGATGATTAGCTCAGTGGTGTTTAGTCCTCTGATGAGCCCATTGAGAGAATTCTTACCTCTGACCTCATGAGTTTGGTTTCTACCATTTTCATTTTATGCTTTTTGAGACTTTATGTGTCTTTTCTGAACCTCCCTTTCATTGCACACATGGTCTCTACTTTCCCAGATGGTCTTCTAACACTTCATTCACATTACCCTTACAATCCCAGTCTGGGGCTTCCAAGATCCAGTCATCTCTAAGATTTAATTAGCCAATAGGGATTTTTCTCTTTGCTGTGTTGCTATAACCAGTAATGCTTTAATCCAATGCTGGATGTGTGACTAGCACCTGAGGCTGGACTGCAATTGGTATTCTTCCTACCTCAATGGGGGCCCTCTTCTGCTTTTGCCCATAGGTAGTGTAGGTCACTGAACCCATGTAGCCAAGAGCTAAAATGAATGGGGTTCCCTTGACAGGATGTGTAGCACAGGCTTTCAATTTCAGCAGTGGTGGGCTGCTGGGACTTGGTGCTAATAGTGGGCTGTGGGGTGCTGAAGAGTTTTCTCCATGTTGCTAACCCATGCTCATATTAGAATCTTCACTGAGTGCCTGCACAACAGAGGGGGATGTCCCTCTACTTCATGGGCCCCCATCAGTAAACTGTTGTTGGTTGTCCTTGAATGCTCAGTGATTGCTGGAAGCAGGCACATGCTCTGTCTCCCTGGTCCACCCATGTCTGAGGCAGACTGTGTGAAGCTGGGCTGTGGAAGGCCTGGTTTCAGAAGGCTCTGGGTCCTACCCCTCTAGGTCACTGTACCTGGGCTGGACCTTGAGTGGAAGAGAATTTGACCTGTGCTTGGTGCCACTGCAGTGTCCTGAGTGCCAGAGGGTTCCTTGTTTCTCCTCCAAGGAAGATGATGTTTGATTCTAGCCCCATCAGAGAAACTGTGGATTTGGGCCAGTACACTAGACACAGGACCATTTCCTGCACCACACCCCAGAAGCTGACTGTGTTGTCCCAAGCAAGTGATGTGGTGAATTGTGGAAAGGTTTAAAGTATGAACCAAGTGATAGCCATGCTGTCTGACTTGGCCATGTTCTCCCTGCAATTTAAATTCAGTATTTCCAAGCAAGTTGGGTGATTAAGTTTCTAGCATGTTATGAATTACTGGTGGTTTCTCTGGGGGAGGAGTTGTATATCTGCTTCTTCCTAGGGAAAAGGAACAGTGGTAATTCCTGGCGAGGAAAGTCCTTTTTTGTTTTCAATTGCTTGTCATGTTTCTCTGTTCCGGGTATTCTTCAGCTTGGTTTCTTCTACTTACATTGTAGCACCAACTGAGCAGGACTGTTACGAGGGTGACGGGCATGGTTACCAAGGTACAGCATCAACCACGGTCACAGGAAGGAAATGTCAATCTTGGCTGTCTATGACCCCACACCAGCACTCAAGGACCCCAGCCAACTACCCAAATGGGTATGTGTTTGACTTTACCCCACATGAGAAGCAACATCTGACTGAAATTGCTATTTCCAGAGCTCTGTTTCAAGTTCACAGCTTAGGACCACAATTCCCTTGGTCCAAAGTGTGAGGCAGAATGTGCACAAACATACCTTTGGAGCCAGTGTTCTGAGAAGACACATTAGAGACTGGCTGTCATGCCTGAGCCATTTTGTAGAAACATGTGATACACATGGATGTAGGTGCCCAGGGCATATGTATGGAAAGGTCAGAAAAATAAATGAACAAACACTTAGGAACAGTACCGGGCCATGGCCCACACTACATATCCATGAAATCTTCGAACCATGCAATTCTATCATTCCAGCCTTCAACCACAAAGGAGAGTTTGTGTTTGCCACTTTTACCTGGGATTTCAATTCATTATTTGAACCACACTCTGACACAGACACATAGACACAGAAAATTATACCCCCCCAACCCCCCCTCCCACAAACTGCCTTAGCCTAACATACTGGGTCTGTAGCAGTAGTGATCTGAATGGATATCAGGTGCTAAGACACGAGGAGCAAAAGCAGGAGGGCAGGTGGGAGGCAGAAGTATACAGGTGCTGAAAAGTACAAAGGTCAAGCACATGGACAGAAGCATCTGCCTGACCAGACCAGCCTTTGTGCCATCAAAGAGGGTAAAATATATAGAAAACGTGTTTGTACCTGTTGGACAAAGGACAGCCTAGGACTGAGCTCCTTCACAATGGGAAATAGATGTTGTCAGTCCCATCAGTCTGGTGGATTTCTTCCTAGAGCCCCATGGAAAAAGGAAGAAAGGAAATTAGAGAAATCAGTAATATTCAATGTGAAAGGAAACAGTTGAACAGTTGAGTAGTAATTTAGTGAAATAAAGGGTGCTGGGTGCCCCTGAAGACACTCTTTCCTTTGGTGACCTGTATTATTTGACATTGACAGTGGCTTGGTGAGGAACTACTGCAGGAATCCAGATGGTGCTGGACGCCCTTGGTGTTATACCACTGATCCGAGTGTCAGGTGGGAGTACTGCAACCTGACACAGTGCTCAGAGGGCCCAGTTCCCAGTGAAGAGGCTCCTACTGAGCAGGGTAAGAAATTTCTGACATCTACCTCCTTAGGACATCAGGAGGAATCAAGATGGAAAATCTTGCTGATGCACAAGCTATGTTAAAAGTGTGTTTGGGTGCTTCTGGAGGGTCTTCCCTGTGGAAGGAGGCCATGGCGTTGCCCTCAGGGGGTCCAGAGATGTGATTGGTGGCACAATATGGGTGATGGCTGATTTGAACACTTCTGCAAATCCTCCAAAACCCTTTCCTTACCATTCACCTTGGCCTGAAGCTGTGGCATCAACCTTCCCATCTGGTGCCATATTCCTTCTCTCCAGAGCTTTACGTGAGCTTTGGTAGCAATGTCTTGCAGCTTCAGTACATCCAGAATTTCCTGATTTTCCTTTCAGGATTTCTAACTAGTTTTTCTTGATTCAGGTCCAGAGGTGATGGAAAGTTCTTTTTAATTGACCACTGTAAAGATGATACTCCATCATCCCCTGTTTCTGACTAGGAGTCTTGTATTTGTTCCCTAGGTTTTCATGTTACTTTTGTCTCTGGCTGCCATGAGACTTGCTCTCATCTTTGCTTTTTACCATTTTGAGTCTGCATCTCACTCTGTTAAGTCTTCTCTTCCTCTCTTTATGGTGCCTGGCCTTTCTGGACCTCATTGAAAATGTGGAGAATTGAGGTTCAGTAGTTTGTTGAGGTGGATTCTTAGCCAGCATCTTGTGGAAGTATTTCTTCTTCATCTTCCATCTCTCTATCTCTCCAATCCTCTCTCTCTCTTTCTATCTCATTGCCCTCCCCTACTGTGAACACTAAGTGCCCAGATGTTAGGCCATTGCGTGTTGTTTCCTAACTCTTAAGGGATTGTCTTTTTGTTTGTTTTCTTTTCTTTCTTTTTTTTTTTTTTTTATTAAATCATAGCTGTATACATTAAAGCAATCATAGGTGTGGTCCCACCAATCACCCTCCCTTCACCGGTCCTCTCCCTCCCCTCTCCTCCCTCTCCTCATTCCCCATATTTTTGGGCTATAATTGCACTATAGCTTTCATATGAAAGCTATAAATTAGTTTCATAGTAGGACTGAGTACATTGGATAGTTTTTCTTCCATTCTTGAGATACTTTGCTATGAAGAATATGTTCCAACTCCACCCACGTAAACATGAAGGAGGTAAAGTCTCCATCTTTCTTTAAGGCTGCATAATATTCCATGGTATACATATACCACAATTTATTGATCCATTTGTGGATCACTGGGCACTTGGGCTTCTTCCATGACCTAGCAATTATGAATTGGGCTGCAATAAACCTTCTGGTACAATGTTGTAATGTGATTTTGGTCTTCTGGATATATACCTAGTAGAGGAATTGTAGGAGCAAATGGCAGGTCTATGTTTAGTTCTCTAAGTGTTCTCCAAACATCTTTCCAAAGGGGTGTATTAGTTTACATTCTCACCAGCAGTATAGAAATGTTCTGTTTTCTCCACATCCACGCCACCATCTCTGGTTTTGGGATTTTTTGATGTGGGCTAATCTTACTGGAGTTAGATGATATCTCAAAGTAGTTTTGATTTGCATTTCTCTGGTGATTAATGATGATCAGCATTTAACTGTCTTCTTCAGAGAAGTTTCTCTTCACGTCCCTTGCCCACCCTGAAGTCCTTCTGTTTGTTTTCTTTGTAACTTTTTCTTTGTTTGCATGTGTGGCAGTTACAAGTATTTTTCTTAACCCATTTTTAGCTTCACTGATGATTTTCTCAAAAGTGTGTAGTTGCTTGATGAGCCCATTGATAGAATTCTCACCACCAACCTCATGAGTTTGGTTTCTACCATGTTCATTTTACACTTTTTGAGACTTTCTGTGTCTTTGCTGAACCTCCACATCATTGCACACATGCTGTGCACTTTCCCAGTTGATATTCTAACACTTCACTCATGATAACCTTACAAGCCCACTCTGGACTTCCTAGATTCAGTCCTCTCTGAGACTGGTGTCTTGATTAGCCAATGGAATTTTTCTTCTTGGAGGTTTTGGTGTGTGCTGTAATGTTTTAATCCAATGCTCTATGTGGGACCAGCACATTGGCTAGACTGCAGTAGGTATTCTTCTTGGATGTGGGCCCCCCTCTGCTTTTGCCCATAGGTGTTGTGGCTCACTGAGTCCAGATATCCAGCAGCTGAAATAAATGGGGTTCCCTTGATGGGACGTGCAGTGCAGGCTTTCAATTCCTACAGTAGTGGGCTGTTGGGACCTGGTGCTGAGTGTGGGCTCTGGGATGCTGAAGAGTTTTCTCCATGTTGCTAAACCATGCTCAGACTGGAGCCTTCACTGAGGGCCTGTGCCCCAGAGGTGGTTGTCCCTCCACTTCGTGGGATCCCATCAGTAGACTGCTATTGGTTTTCTTTGAATGCTCAGTGACTGGTGGAAGCAGGCACATGCTCTATCTCCCTGGTCCACTCAGAGTGCTAGGCAGACTGGGCTACACCGGACTGTAGAAGGCCTGGCTTTGGAGGTGCTCCATCTCTAGGTCATTGTCCCTGGTCTTGGTCTCGAGTGGAAGAGAAGTCGACTTGTGTTTGGTGTCATTGCAGTGTCCTGGGTGCCAGAGGGTTCCTTGTCTTTCCTCTGGGGAAGATGAAGTTTGACTCTAGCCCCGTCAGAGAAATTGTGGATTTTGGCCTGTAGTCTAGACACAGGACCATATCCTGCCCCATACTCCCTTGGCCAAGCAAGTGATGTGTGGAAATGTGCCAAGGTTTCAAGTATGGACCCAGTGATAACCATGCTATCTGACTTGGCCGTGTTCTCCCTGAATGTTACATTCAGTATTTCCAAGAAGTTGAGTGATTAAAGTTCTAGTATGCTATGAATTGCTGGCAGTTTCAATGGGGAGGAGCTATACATATGCCTGCTCCTAGGGAAAAGACAACAGTGGTAATTCCCAGAGAGGAAGGTCCTTTTCTGTATTCAATTGTTTACCATGTTTCTCTGTTCTGGTTATTCTTCAGCTTGGTTTCTTTTATTTCCATCTTAGCACCAACTGAACAGGACTGTTACCAGGGTGATGGACATGGTTACCGAGGGACAGCATCAACCACGGTCACAGGAAGGAAATGTCAATCTTGGTTGTCTATGACACCACACAAGCACTCGAGGACCCCAGACAACTACCCAGATGGGTAAGTGTTTGATTTTCCTCCACAAGAGAAGCAACATCTGACTGAAACTGCTATTTGCAGAGCTCTGTTTCATGTTCACTGCTCAGGAACATAATTCCCTTGGTCCAAAGTGTGAGGCAGAATGTGAAGGAAACTAGCTTTGGAGCCAACATTCTGCGACAAGATACAGTAGAGAAAGGCTGTCATGCCTGAGTCATGTTGTAGAAACACATGATACACATGGATGGAGGTACCCAGGGTACATGAATGGAAAGGTCAGGAGAACAAATGAAACACTTAGGAACAGTACCTGGCCATGGCACCACTGGCGATCAGTCCAATCTGCTATGTTTTGTAGAAACACACTATACACACAAATAGTACACTACCAGATCACGACCCCCACTACAGATCCATGCAATCTTTGAATGATGCAATTCTATCTTTCCAGCCTCCTCCACCAAGAAGAGTTTATATTTGCCAGTTTTACCAAGGGTTTGAAGTCCAGATTTGAACCTCACTCAGGCACACACACACACACACACAGCCTTAGCCAAACACACTGGATTTTTTTTTTTTTTGAGACAGAAGCCTCAAGGTATTCCCCTGGGTAGAGTGCCATGGCATCACAGCTCACAGCAACCTCCAACTCCTGGGCTCAAGCGAGTCTCCTGCATCAGCCTCCCAAGTCGCTGGGACCACAGGTGCCCGCCACAATGCCCGGCTATTTTTTGGTTGTAGCCATCATTGTTTTGGTGGGCCCGGGCTGGATTTGAACCCTCCACCTTAGGTGTATGTGACTGGCACCTTAGCCACTTGAGCCACAGGTGCTGAGCCCACACTGAGTCTTTAGCGTTAGTGGTCTAAACAGATATGAGGTGCTAGGACACAAGGCAGAAAAGCAGAAGGGCACATTGGAGGCAGAAGTATACAGGTGCTGAGAAGTACAAAGGCTGAGCACATGGACAAAAGCACCTGTCTGACCGGACCAGCATTTGTGCCATCAAAGACAGTATAATATTTAGAAGTGTTTTTACCTGTTGGACTAAGGACAGCCTAGCAGTGAGCTCATTTGCAATGGAAAGTAGATGTAGGCAACCCCGTTAATCCCCTGGCTTTCTTCCTAGAGCCCCATGGTAAGAGGAAGAAGGGAAATTAGAAAAATCAGTGACACTCAGCGGGAAAGGCAATGGGTGAACCGTAGAGTAGTCATTCAGTGAAAGAAGAGGGGCTGGGTACCCTTGAGCCCTTTGCCACACTGGGTGACCTGTGTGATTTTGGCATTGGCAGAGGCTTGGTGAGGAACTACTGCAGGAATCCAGATGATTCTGGACGCCCTTGGTGTTACACCACTGATCCGAGCATCAGGTGGGAGTATTGCAACCTGACACAGTGCTCAGAGACCCCAGTTCCCAGTGAAGAGGCTCCTACCGAACAGGGTAAGAAATCTCTGACATCCACCTTCTTAGGATGTTGGGAGGAATTGAGATGGAAAGTCTTCCCCATGTACAAGATTTCCATGTGAAAAGTGTCTTTGGGTGCTGCTGGAGGGTATTCCCTGTGGAAGGAGGCCTCAGGGCTCCCACTGGGGGAATCCTGTGCTGTAGTTGGTGGCACAATGCGGGTGATGTCAGGTATGGACACTTGTGCAAATCCTCCAGGGCCTTTTCCTTACTGCCCACCTTGGCATGAAGCTGGAGATGCTAGAGTCTATCCACGTGTCCATCTGCTGCCATGTGTCTTCTTCTTCTCTCTCTCTCTCCCCCCCATTGTGCACACTAAGTGCCCAAATATTAGGCCATAGTTTTGAAGTTTTGTTCTTCTGTTTGTTTTCTCTGTCACCCTTTTTTTCCCCATTTGTTTGTGTGCGTGCCAGTTAGAAGTATTTCTCTTAAGCCAGCTTCAGGTTCACTACTGATTTCCTCAGTCTTGTATAGTCCCCTGATTAGCCCATGGAGAGAATTCTCACCTCCAACCTCATGTGTTTCATTTCTACCATTTTCATTTTATGCTTTTTGAGAGTTTCCATGTCTTTGCTGAACCTCCCCATCATTGCACAAGTGCTGTTTACTTTCCGAGATGATCGTCTAACCTTTCACTCACGATAACCTTACATGCCCAGTCTAGACTTTCTAGATTGTCATCTCCAAGTCTGGTGTCTTGATTAGCCAATAAGGAATTTCCTTTTGGCCGTTTTGGTGTGTCCTATAATGTTTTAATCCAATGCTCGACATATGACTAGCACATTAGGCTAGACTGGAGTAGTTATTCTTCTTACTTGGATATGGGCCCTTTTCTGCTTTTGCCCATAGGTAGTGTGGCTCACTGAGTCCTGGTAGCGAGCAGCTGAAATGAATGGGGGTCCCAGGACAGGTTGTGCATCACAGGCTTTCAATTCCTGCATTGGTGGGCTGCTGGAACCCAGTGCTGAGAGTGCGCTCTGGGGTGCTGAAGAGTTTTCTGCATGTTGATAAACCTTGCTCAGATCAGAGCCTTCCCTGAGGATCCCCACCACAGAGGGGATGTCCCTCCACTTCATGGGCCCCCACCAGTAGGCTGTTGTTGGTTGTTCTTCAATGCTTAGTGTTTGGTGGAAGCAGGTAAATACTCTGTCTCCCAGGTGCACCCATAGTCCTAGGCAGACTGTGCACTCTGGTCTGTGGAAGGCCTGGTTTTGGACAGCTCTTGGTCCTACCCCACTAGGTCACTGTCCCTGGGCTGGGCCTTGAGTGGAAGAGAAGTCTACTTGTGCTTTGTGCCACTGCAGCATCTCAGTGCCAAAGGGTTCCTTGTCTCTCCTCTGGGGAAGATGATGTTTGGTGCTAGCCCTCTCTGGGAAACTGTAGATTTTTCCCTTCAGAGTTGATGTAGGATCATTTCCTGCCCCATGCCTCGGAAGCAGAGTGTGTTGGCCTTGCCCGAGCAAGTGATGTGGGGAAATGTGCCAGGCTTTCGAGTATGAACCCAATGATAGCCTTGCTGTCTGACTTGGCCGTGTTCTTCCAGAATTTGACATACAGTATTTCCAAGTGAATTAGGTGATTAAGGTTCTAGCATACTATGAATTACTGCTGGTTTCTCTGGGGAAGAGCTGTACATCTGCTTCTTCCTAGGGAAAAGGCAACAGTGGTAATTCCCAGAGAGGAAGGTACTTTTTTTGTATTCAATTGCTTACCATGTTTCTCTATTCTGGGTATTCTTCAGCTTGGTTTCTTTTATTTCCATCTTAGCACCAACTGAGCAGGACTGTTACAAGGGTGACGGACACGGTTACCGAGGTAGAGCATCAACCACGGTCACAGGAAGGAAATGTCAGTCTTGGCTGTCTATGACACCACACAAGCACTCGAGGACCCCAGCCAACTACCCAAATGGGTATGTGTTTGATTTTCTCCCATAAGATAAGCAACATCTGACTGAAACTGCTGTTCCCAGAGATCCATTTCAAGTTCATTGCTTAGGCCCACCATTCCCTTGGGTCCAGAGTGTGAGGTAAAATGTCCAGGAACCTAACTTTGGAGGTAACATTCTGAGAGGGACTTATTGTCATGCCTGAGTCATTTTGTAGAAACAAAATGTGATACTCCTGGATAGAGGTACCCAGGGCACATAAATGGAAAGGTCAGAAGAATAAATGAACAAACACTTAGGAACAGTATCAGGCCACAGGCCCCATTATAGATCCATGCAGTCTTTCAACCATGCAATTCTATCATTCCAGCCTCCAACCTACAAGAAGAATTTGTGTTTGCCAAATGTATCTAGGGTTTGAAGTGAAGATGTGAACCACGCTCAGACACACACACACACACACACATACACACAATCACACTGACTCAGTCATACCCAGTGGGTTTTTGGCACAAGTGGTCTAAATGGATATCAGGTGCTAGGATATGAGGACCAAAGCAAGAAAGCAAGTGGGAATCAGAAGGATACAGGTGCTGAGAAATACAAAGGCTGAGCACATGGACAAAAGCATGAGTTTGAGTGGACCAGCATTTGTGTCATCAAGGAGGATGAAATATACAGAAAAAGTGTTTTCACCTGTTGGGCAAAAGACAGCCTAGTATTGAGCTATGGCAATGGGAAACAGATGATGTCAAGCCCATCAGTCCCCTGGCTTTCTTTCTAGAGCCCCATGGTAAGAGGAAGAAGGGAAATTACAGAAATCAGTGACATTCAATGTGAAAGGCAATGGGTGAACAGTTGTTTTGTAATTTAGTGACACAAAAGGTGCTAGGTGCCCCTGAAGACATTCCCTCCCTTGGTGACCTGTATGATTTTGGCATTGGCAGAGGCTTGGTGAGGAACTACTGCAGGAATCCAGATGGTGCTGGAGGCCCTTGGTGTTACACCACTGATCCGAGCGTCAGGTGGGAGTACTGCAACCTGACACAGTGCTCAGAGACCCCAGTTCCCAGTGAAGAGGCTCCGACTGAACAGGGTAAGAAATCTCTGACATCCACCTCCTTAGGACATCAAGAGGAATCGAGATGGCATACCTACCTGATGCACAAGCCTTCCGTGTTAAAAGCATGTTCGGGTGCTGCTGGAGGGTCTTCCCTGTGGAAGGAGGCCATGACATTGCCCTCAGGGGAGCCAGAGCTGTGATTGGTGGCACAGTGTGGGTGGCGGCGGCAGATTTGAACACTTGTGCCAATCCTCCGGGGCCTTTTCCTTACTGCTCACCTTGGCATGAGGCTGGAGATGCTAGAGGCCATCCACGTGTGCCTTGGGTGCCGTAGGCCTTCTTTCCAGAGCTTCACCTGAGCATTGCTGAAAGGTAGCAATGCCTTTCAGCTCCTCTACATCTGGAAATTTCTTGATTTTCCTGTGAGGTTTTCAAACTGGTTTTGCTTATTGCAGGTCCAGAGGTGATGGACAGTTTTCTTTATTTGACCACTTAAAGATGATACTCCATCATGTCCTGTTTCTGACTAGGAGTCTTACCTCTGTTCCCTAGGGTTCCATATTTCTTTTTTTCTCTGGCTGCCATGGGACTTTCTCTCTTCTTTGCCTTTTAACACTTTGACTCTGCAACTCACTCTGTTGAGTTTTCTTTTCCTCTATTTATGGTGCCTGGCCTTTCCTGAGCTCCTTGAATATGTGGAGCATTGATATTCAGTAGTTTGTTTCAGTAAATTCTTTCTGGTATCTTTTGAAATATTTTTTCTTCATCTTCCCTATCTCTGTGCATTCCCCCACCCGTCCCATCCCTGCCTGCCACCTCACCCTCTCTCTCCTACAGTTTGCAGACTACATGCCCAGATGTTAGGCCATTGCATGTTGTTTCCTAACTCTTGAAGGATGGTTTTTGTTTTCTTTGTAGCTCTGTTTTTTATTTGGTTTTTGTGTCAGTTTGGAATATTTCTCTTAACCCATCTTCAGGTTCACTGACGATTTGCTCCGTGGTGTGCTGTAGTCCCCTAATGATCCCATGGTGAGATTTTTCAACTCTGACCTCATCAGTTTGGTTTCTAGCATTTTCATTTTATGATTTTTTGAGACTTTTCACGTCTCTGCTGCATCTGCCCATCATTCCATACATGCTGTCTACTTTCCTAGAAGATCTTCTAACACTTCACTCATGTTTACCTTACAATCCTAGTCTTGGAATTCCTAGATCTAGTCCTCTCTGAGACTGATGAGATAGTCAGTCCTCTCTAGGACTTAGACTTCTCTAAGCCAATAGAGATTTTTCTACTTGGCTATTTTGGCATGCCTTGTAATGTTTTAATCCAATGCTGGACATGTGACTAGCACGTTAGGCTAGACTGCAGTAGATATTCTTCTTGGATGTGGGCCCTCCTCTTCTTTTGCCCATAGGTAGTGTGGCTCCCTGAGTCCACGTAGCAAGCAGCTGAAATATGTGGGCCCACAGGCCAGGATGTGCAGCACAGGTTTTTAATTCCTTCAGTGGTGGGCTGCTGGGCCCTGGTGCTGAGAGTGGCATCTTGGGTACTGAAAAGTTTTCTCCATTTTGCTAAGCTATGCTCAGATCATAACCTTCAATGAGTGCTTGCACCACAGAGGGTATGTCTCCCTCCACTTCATGGCCCCCATTAGTATACTGCTGTTGGTTGTCATTGAATGCTCAGTGGTTGCTCAATGTTCTAGGTCTTCCCACACCTTAAGATTGGCTTTGCCCCTGATCAGTTTTTACTGAGTATCTTTTTTTGTACTTTCTATTTCTTCTCATAGAATTTCTGTTGGGTGGGCCTTCAGTGAATGAGCAATATATTTCTATGCTATTTAAATGCACAATCTTTCCCTATGAATTTTCTTTGTCCATTCTTTTTTTTTCTGAGACAGAGCCTCAAGCTGCCCCCCTGGGTAGAGTGCCGTGGCATTACAGCTCACAGCAACCTCCAACTCCTGGGCTCAAGCAAGTCTCCTGCCTCTGCCTCCCAAGTAGCTGGGACCACAGGTGCCCGCCACAACACCCAGCTATTTTTTGGTTGCAGCCATCATTGTTGTTTGGCGGGTCCGGGCTGGGGATTCGAACCTGCCACCCTAGGTGTACGTGGCTGGCGCCCCAGCCGGTTGAGCCACAGGCGCAGAGCCTTCTTTGTCCATTCTTGAGGAGATAATTATTTTTCACTGTATGCCACCCTCAGCAACCATGAATTTTGGTTGCCGTACACAGAAGATCATTTTCTGTCACCTTCCCCAGAAGCTTAAGGCTTTGGCTTTTTTCAGAAAATGGTCCGGGAAAATGTTTCAACATTTCAAGTATTACCTCTATTAAGAGATATGTTCTGTGACTTCGTTACTTTTCCCTCATATTTTAAATTTAATATTTTGAGGAATACTGGTTTAAGTTCTAGAATGCTATTAATTTATTGGTTTTTTAATGGGTGAGTCCTGTCCATATAATTGTTACTCTGGAAAAGAGAACAGTGCTAATTCAAATAAACTAATTTAACAGTTTTTCTATAAATTCCTTCTCATATTTCTCTGTCAGTCATTTTTCAGCTTATTTTTTTTTCTGTCTTAACTTTAATAGCACCTGACCACAATCCTGTGTTCCGAAAATGTTTCCTGAGTGATACACAGAGTTACCAAGTTGAAGCATCAACTAATTTCATAGGAGTGTCATCCAAGTTCAAAATATAGAAGCTCCATCTGAGCAAGGTAAAAAAGTCTGGGGTCATTTATCTACATATTTGTATTTTGGCATGAAAAGAGATGGAAAAATCTTCCTTATTTGGAAGGCTTCCGTTTTCTTTGGGTACTGTTGGAGGGTCTTCCAAGTGGACAGAGGCCTCGGCACTCCCCTTTGGAGAGCCAGAGGTGTGATTAGTGGCACAATGTGGGTGATGGGAGATTTGAACACTTGTGCAAATCCTCCAGGGCCTTTTCCTTACCACTCACCTTGATGTGAAGGTAGAGATGCTACAGTCCATCCACGCTTCCATGTGCTGCCATATGTCTTCTGTCCAGAGCTTCATCTGGGCATTGGTAGCAGGAGCCTGTTGCTGGTGAAGCCTTTCAGCTTCTGTATGTCTGTGAAAATTCTTATTTTGCTTTTTTAAAATAGTAATTTTGCTGTATTGAGAATCTGAGATACTTTTATTTATTTAACACCTCTAAAGATGGTACTCCATTATGTTGTGTTTCTGTCTTTGTTCCTACATGTTCAATATTTCCTTTTATTGGCTGCCTTTATGAATTTCTCTCAACTTTGCTTCCCAGCACTTTGACCATGGTGCATCTAGCTGTGCTTAATGTTTTTTATAGATATTGTGCTTGGTGTTTTCCCAGCCTCTTAGATTTGGGGATTATTGATTTTATCTTTTATGAAATCTTAGCCATCTAGGTGTGAAAATGTTGTCCTGGTGGGGAGTAGGCATGTCTGAGCATGGCCAAACCCTTGAGGGTTGCATGGGTGCCTGTGGAGGCCACCATGACAATGTCAGGCAGGGAGGGATTCTGGATATTCCTCTTTTTCTCCTCACGTGTGAGTCCTCAGGAAACTCTACCACCAGCCCTAAGAGCCTCAGGTGAATTCATTGTGATCCCTTCTTTCTCTTTTTTTCTTTTAGGTGTTGTCCAGAGAGCCAGAGAAATGGACCTATCCCCTCCATTCTGAGGAATTCCTCCCCATTCTGAAAAATTGTATAGCATAAAAAAAAAATAAAAATAAATCATATTACTATGTAACACTGCCTGGCCTCAATATAAGCTGGAGGACAGGGAGGTCTGCCTGGTCAATGGGGGTCTAACCTGTAACACTACCCTCCAGTTAGAACTCTTTTGAAAATGTAAAAAATTGCCTGAAATCCTTTTTATACTCAGGAGTTTAAGGCCTTACAGTAAAGCCAGAGGCATGGGGAGCATGCGCCATACATGCTGCCATGTAAAGTGCATGTCCCTAGGTCCCTTGACCTGAACCTTTTTTGACTGCAGTTTAGAAAACTGAAGTTCCTTCCGAGCCCCACAGGGACAAGGATGCCTTCTGGCAATCCTGACTGCCCCTGAACATGCAACTTACCAATATATCTTCAACTATCTGTCCCTAATTCTGTCCCTGGATTCCTATGCTTTTTATGGGACGTGACTATGGGTTAAAGGGCCACCAGCAGGGTACACATTCCTTTTTGTCTGTTGGATCTTCAAGTGTCCCAGATTAGCTTTGGTTCTCTGAGGACCCAGGGAAGTTGCTGGGGGCACTTCATATCCCAGCCCTTTCCTTTGATCTCATGTAGAGAGACCTGAATGTGATTCTCTCTATTGCTTCCCCCAGAGAAGATGTGCATTTGGGACCAGGTGTAAGTGTTAACAGATGCCTTAAATGATGCCCAACCTCTCTGTTTCCTGTGGGAATGACACTGTCCTCCTTTAGCATTCTAACTGGCATGTCCAATGGGGACAGCAGGGAATAAGACTCAGAGACCACATGGTCATGTGTCTCATAGAAGGTGCACAACTGAACATAGTTCACAACCTGTGAACTATGCTAGGATGAGAGAGGTGATGCAGAGCCCTGATGAAAATGCAGAACTTTTTGAAGCTTGACTGGTTAATGAGGTCTACAAATATGTTGACCTGGCAACTCCTGGGGGAGAGTGGTATTGAGGACTCATCTCATCAATCACCCCCAGATATTAGAAGAAAACTCAAAAAATAGTCCTTGTGGCCCCAGACTCCCTGTCATGCTCTCCTGACGTTCCTGTTAGTGTGTCAACAACTGAGGTATGAGAGAGTAGGAGGGGCAAGAATGTATGATTGGAGGTGAGACTGATGTAAGTCAGTCTCTGGTGGCTGTCACATGCAGGCCCCTGCCACACCAGGACCGCCCATACCATGTGGGAAGAGTACCATCCAATGAGGGCCACTTCTACTGCCATAAGAAGGTTGACTGTATCAAAGAATGTCCCAATCCCTTATCCTCTTCCTGCCAAGACAGGCCCCTTATGTAATAAGTAGGGCATTGGAGGAGAGACTGTTCCATGGTCCATAGGGAGCAGGGTGGCCTTTCTCCCCAATAACAATGGGATGACCGATGGGGCCTGAGGTTCACAGCAGCACCCAACAAGACCATCATTTTCTTTTTTTTTTTCCCATTCAAATTTCCTTTATTATTTCTTATAGCATAACTGTGTACATTAATGCAATCATGGGGTACAGTGTGCTGTTTTCATATACATTTTTAAATACTCTCATCAAACTGGTTAACATAGCCTTCATGTCATTTTCTTAGTTATTGAGTTAAGACATTCATACTCTGCTTTTAGTAAGAGTCACTTGTACCCTTGTAGGATAAACCCACAAATCACCCTCCCTCCCCCTATCCACCCCCTTCACCTCCCCTCTCCCACCCCCCTTCCCATATTCTAAGGCTATAATTAGGTTATAACATGCCTATAAAAACTATGAATTAGTTCCAAAATGGGGCTGTGTACATTGGATACTTTTTCTTCCATTCTTGAGATACTTTGCTAAAAAGAACATTTTCTAATTCCATCCATGTAAACATGAAGGAGGTAAAGTCTCCACCTTTCTTTAGGGCTGCCTAGTATTCCATGGTGTACACATACCACAATTTATTGATCCATTCGTGGGTCAATGGGCATTTAGGTTTCTTCCATGACCTAGCATTGTTGAATTGGGCTGCAAGAAACATTCTGATACAAATATCTTTGTTGTAGTGTGATTTTTGGTCTTCTGGATATATGCCTAATAAAGGAATTGCAGGATCAAATGGCAGGTCTACTTTTAGATCCCTGAGTGTTCTCCAGATGTCTTTCCAAAAGGAATGAATTAATTTGCATTCCCACCAGCAGTGTAGAAGTGTTCCCTTTTCTCCACATCCACGCCAGCATCTCTGGCTTTGGAATTTTGTGATATGGGCTAATCTTACTGAGGTTAGGTGGTACCTCAAAGTAGTTTTGATTTGCATTTCTCTGATGATTAAGGATGGTGAGCATTTTTTCATATATCTGTAGGCCATGTGCCTATCTTCTTTAGAGAAATTTCTATTCAAGTCCCTTTCCCACCCTGAGACGGGATCACATGTTTTTTTCTTGCTAATACGTTTGAGTTCTCTGTGGATTCTGGTTATTAAACCTTTGTCGGAGACAAACCCAGCAAATATATTCTCCCATTCTGAGGGCTGTCTACCCGCTTTATTTACTGTGTTCTTGGCTGTGCAGAAGCTTTTTAATTTGATTAGGCCCCCAAAGTGTATTTTTGATATTGCTTCAATTGCCCTACAGGTCCTCCTCATAAAATTTTCGCCCAAGCCTATTTCTTCAAGTGTTTTCCCTATACTTTCCTCTAGTATTTTCATAGTTTCATGCCTTAAGTTTAAATCTTTAATCCAGTGAGAATCTATCTTAGTTAATGGTGAAAGGTGTGGGTCCAGTTTCAGTCTTCTACAGGTTGCCATCCAGTTAGCCCAGCACCATTTGTTAAATAGGGAATCTTTTCCCCACTCAGTGTTTTTAATTGGCTTGTCAAAGATCAGATAATGGTAGGTGGCTGGATTTATCTCTTGGCTTTCTATTCTGTTCCACACATCTACCTCTCTGTTTTTGTTCCAGTACCATGCTGTTTTGATCACTATCGATTTATAGTATAGTCTGAGGTCTGGTAACATAATTCCTCCTACTTTGTTTTTGTTCCTGAGTAATGTTTTGGCTATTCAAGGTTTTTTCTGATTCCATATAAAATGAAGTATTTTTTTCTAGATCTTTAAAGTATGATAGTGGAGCTCTAATGGGGATTGCATTAAAATTATATATTGCTTTGGGTAGTATTGACATTTTAACAATGTTGATTCTTCCCAGCCATGAGCATGGTATTTTTTCCATTTGTTAACATTGTCAGCTATTTCTTTTCTTAGAGTTTCATAGTTCTCTTTATAAAGGTCTTTCATATCCTTTGTTAGGTAAACTCCCAGATATTTCATCTTCTTGGCACTACCGTAAATGGAATAGAGTTCTTGACTATTTTTTCAGCTTGACTGTTGTTGGTATATATAAAGGCTACCGATTTATGAGTGTTGATTTTGTAACCTGACACACTGCTGTATTCCTTGATCACTTCTAGGAGTTTTGTAGTAGGATCCTTGGTATTTTCCAGGTATATGATCATGTCATCTGCGAAGAGTGAAAGTTTAATCTCTTCTAATCCTATATGGATACCCTTGATTGCCTTTTCTTCCCTAATTGTGATGGCTAAAACTTCCATTACAATGTTAAAGAGCAATGGAGACAATGCCTGGTTCCTGATCTGAGTTGAAATGATTTCAATTTAACTCCATTGAGTATGATATTGGCTGTGGGTTTGCTGTAGATGGCCTCTATCAATTTGAGAAATGTCCCTTCTATGCCATTTTTCTTAAGTGTTCTGATCATGAAAGGATGCTGGATGTTATCAAAAGCTTTTTCTGCATCAATTGAGAGAATCATATTGCCTTTGTTTTTTAATTTATTTATGTGATGAATTATGTTTATAGATTTACATATGTTGAACTAGCCTTGAGATCCTGGGATAAAACCCACTTGGTTGTGGTATATAATTTGTCTGATGTGTTGCTGGATTCTGTTGGTTAGGATCTTGTTGAATATTTTTGCATCAATATTCATTAGTGATATTGGTCTATAATTTTC